AGTTCTGCTGAAGGTTTCCATGCTGGGCCTGCAGCATGGGTTGAATGAGGATCTGTGGGCCCCGGGTGGTCTCACTCACTCTCCGGGCCTGCGCTCTGGTCTATTCAGGATCCTGCGGCCCAGGTCGACTCACTCACTCGCTGGGCCTGTGCTCTGGGTCTACAAATGTTATGTAAATAGCTGTTATACTATATTGTTTAGGGAATCATGACAAAAAAAAAAGAACAGTCTATACAAGTATAGTATCCATGTAATTTTCTGCAAGTATTTCTACCCCACAGTTAGATGTAAATCCACAGATTTGGAATCCATGCATGCAAAGATACAACTGTCTTTTGTTGAGGATAGGAATGAGGAAGCATTTCTATGCAGAATGAGTTGACATTGTTTTCCATGTTGCTCCTGAGAGGAAAAGAGGGCTTTGGAGGTCGTGTTTAAAGTCAGAGTTTGGGAAGCTATTCATTTCAGTTTTCTATGTCCTCTCAGCCCTGTTTTCTGAGCATCAAGCCTACTTCATATAGAGTATCTGGCCAGGTATGGTGGTGCACCGATCGTCACAGACAGGAGGCTGAGACAGGAAGGTCACTTAAGCTCAGGAATTTGGTCCCCACTAGGACAGCGGAATGAAACCTTATCTCAAAAAATCAAAGAAAAAAATGTGACTCCCTGTAAAATGAGACCACTCATCACCTTCTACTGTACAAGGATGGACTGGTGTGTCACTTGCATATCTTTGATTGTATTCTGATCTCTTATGAAAGAGAAAATGGAAACACAAATTAACATATAGTAGGGAAAACCAAATTTCATTAAATAGTGGCCATGATTAATTTAGACATTACATTGCCTTCTTGCTTGTAGAGAAGGATTTATGGTTTGATTTTTTTCATAACATGTTAACTACTCAGTGCTTCTCTTGTCATCAGTTTGGTTTGTTGTCATGCATTCAGAGTATAATATGTTATACATGGTTTTCAGGCTTTTTGAGTTGAAAAATATGTGCTTTATTATAACTGCTGTGGGTAGTTTGATCAGATGGTGAATATGTTCTTCTGTTTTGTCATTTTCCAAGATTTTTGTGGAACCATGATTATTGAGGGAGAGGAAGCTCCAGTTGCCTACACATTGGATGATACCAAACCTGATGGCAACTATGCTGCTATAATAGGGTAAGGTGCTACTTCAGTATTCTGGTTGTATTATCAGTGCTGACAGGATAATCAAATACTCTCAATAAATGTGTACCAAATATTGTTACATAAATTTCTTTTAGTCAGTGACACTATTCATCAAATCTATCAATAGAAAAAAATTCTATTCTCTTTTTCAGTGTCTTCTAAGGAATGCTTTTCTAGGGAAGTAAAATACTAACAGCACTTCAAATATGTTATATTTAGTGCTTAGTTAAATATATTTTGGCAATGTATCTTGTGTTGAAACATTATATAAGGACTTCAATTGGGGTGTTTTACTAAAACAGGTTCTTGTGAAGGCTTTGTGGGCATCAGTGTGGTCTTATTCAGTTTGGTATTGCTAGAATGGAGTATTCAAGACTGTGTGACTTATAAAGAAAAGAGGCTTATCTTAGCCCATAGTTAATTAGAGAAAAAGGAGGGCTACAAGGAAAGCCAACATTTTGGCCCTAGTCTTCTAAGGTCAGTTAAGACTCAGGACATATGAGAACTTGTACTGTAACATCATGTACCTCGGTAGT